ATCCTCCACTGACAGCTTGAATAGTGGCAGGGAACACATGCCCAGACTGCGGATGCCGTATCTTTTTTGGCTGCGTCACGGAATTAGAGAATAACATTCTACGGCTGTCTAAGGAAGGGTTCGGCAGATCTGTGCTGGCCTCGTAGCACAAGTTTCTAGGCAGCTGTACTCTCTGTGAATGTGTTCTCACTGGTACTCTGTAGTTTATCAAATGCATGCGGCGTGAGCCTGTTCTATCCTGAGCAAATGGAGTCACAGCAGTGACAAGCTAGGGCTTCTTCGATGCCAGGAAAGAAATCCAATTTCCTCCTGATTTGAAATTAATTTTCAGAGGGAAATTGCTTTATTGTTATGCCTCATGATGACTCCCAGCCTGGAGCCTGCTGGTTTGCTAAGAGAGGCCTGTTCTCTGCTTGGGGGGTGGGGTGTCTTCGGCCAAGGTGCCGAGAACACCATGTCTGACCCAGTACAGGCTGAGCTGAGCTCCTCCCCACTGGGGAATCTCGCTGGCCTTGAGGCAAATATGTGAGGAGCAAAGACCAATGGTCTGTTGGCTGCTGAGTGGACATTCACTGCTGAGTGGACACTCACTGTCCCCAGCCCCCTTCTTCCTCTAGGAATCCAAAGACTGTAGATGTCTGGCCCTAACACAAGCATCTCAGAGAAGCACTATTGCAAAAGTCAGTGACGTGTGACTGGGCATCTCTGACCAGGTCCTGTCATGAGTGGAATTTGGCAACCACAGCAGGGTCCTGGGCCTTGATCCACAGGACAGGGTCTGCAGAACTTGGCACTCACCAAAGTCATTGCTCACATCTCTGCTTGACCTGGCATTTGCTGACTGCGCAGACACACACACATTCCTCTCCTGCAGCTGGTGGGCTAGAAGCCAACTGATCTATAAATACGTGGCCTGGCTCCATGTTCTGGCCCGAGAGCCTCCACATGCTGATGGACAGTTCATCAACATAGTTTTAAGCCAGGACAAGATATCACTTAGAATAAGAAATTTCTCCTGGATTCCAAGAGGGTTCAGTATTTGAGTAAATACGTGTGATGCACCACAAAGCACTTTTGACATTGTCTAGACTTTGTACTATTGCCAGGGAAACCAAGGCCTAAGAAAGCTGGCATAAGATTTTTAAGGCCAACATCTACCTCCCAGTTCTGAGGGTCAGGGTAGCACAGAAATGTTGGCGTATACTAACCTTTCATATCCGTGGCTCAGCTCCTTGTTCCCCACTTGCCTGTAAGCCCCACCTCTGGGCCCAGGGCAGCAGCTAGCCAGCTTCTACAGATTGAAGTGCCACCAGAGACTAAACTGCCATGTACTGTTGGCCAAGGAATGGAAAGGCTTGAGCCACTGGGATTTGTGTCCTAAGCCACACTAAGAGACAACTTTCCAGGTCAGCCCAAACGACAGCATGGACGCCACAGGAACAATCTTGTTCTCTTTGGCCTAACCCTCTTTCAGGCCCTTGGGAGAAGGTGGGGTCACCGGGACAGGAGTCCCTGGCAGGGCACAGTCTTACATAACCTCAGCTGCAGCCTGTGCCTCTACTCCTACTCCAGCCCACATGTCCCAGGAGCTTTGTTCACTAGTTACCTGGCAAGCCCTGTCTTCAGAGATCCTCCCAATCTGTGTGGCCATGACCTCTGAAGAAGCAGGACGAGAGAGAATAGCTAGCTGTGCTCAGGGACAGGTGTCAAATATTTCTGGATGGAGACCACACCATGGCAGACTTTTCTTGTATGTTAGCGAACCACGTGTTATGAGCCTGGCTCATCTTCTTGAGGAAACAGCCCTCAGGCTCATGGTTGCTGGCACTTGGAAAACAACAGGACACTAGCATCTCCATGTCAAGCTTATCTTACAAAGACCCTGTGAGCATTTCCAGGGACTCTCAGTCAATCATCCCCTGGGCAGTGGCAGCCATTCTCCACTGCCCTGGACTGCAGCTGCAAGCTCCCTTGAGCCTGTGGGCGGGGATGCACTCACAGAGAGCAGGCTGCACCTTCCTCCTCATCACTATGTCTGGCCCAGTCCCACAGGTGCTCCCAGCCAACACATCTGGAATTCATTCTAGAGCCAGGGGAGGAGCTGTTGGGGGCAGGGCAGCTGTAAAATAGGAATAACACCATGGGTTCATATCCAAACACTGGAACTCTCTGATGGTCCACAATGGTGCCATATGTACATGGTACCAGGAGGTACATTGGCAATAAATGTCATGGGCCCAGCTTTGATGAGGCATTACTATGTCTAGCCTCAAAGGCATGGGTCCATCCATCTGATAGCCCCATTGTGTGACCAGATAGTTGAAATAGGACCCCGAGTCTTCCCATGTTGAATGTTGTCTTGTGTACCATGTTCTCCTAGGCATGTTATCATCAGGGATGTGCAGGATTCTGGGCTTCCCAGCTCACTGTACAACCAGTCCCCCCAAGACAAGAACCCTGGTCTTGAGAGCACTGTCTTCTCCTGACCTACCAGATCTAGGAAGGCACTATAAACGGATGTGGCCAAGAATAAGTGGGTAGGGCAGGCTGGCTATTACTCAGTGGGTTCACTTACCAGTTTCTTTCTTAGGACAGAAAATGCATAGCACCGTGGGTAAGAATATCTGCCACTAGGCTGCTTCCAAGAGAAGAAATGGACCCCATGATGTTTGAACCTGGGTACCACTAAGGCAGGGGAGTGGGCACAGGTTCTTGTATGTTGCAAAGAGCAAGCACCACGAAAGAACAAAGGGGTGTGCAGACCACAGTCACTATGCAGAGAGCAGGCCTGGCGTGGTTACAAACAGGCAGATGTCACACAGCCTCTACAGATGGATGGATGAGCTTTCTTGAGTTTTCTCATGTTTTACAACACCGCCAAGAATTTGGTGACATGTGTTGGTCACTGTGCCTTTGCCACATGGAGAAGGCCATCTTTATGTAATCATGCCATGGGCTCTGGACTGTGACCCTATTCCAGGGCCAAGAGAAGCAAGGCCCAGTGAGGACAAGGTTGTGTCCCAAGGTTGTGCTGCAGAAGTGAGGTCTGGCTTGGACTCGGTACCCAGCTTTTGCTGCACAGCTATGGCTGGAAACAGGATGATGGTGTTTGTGTTGCTCGCTCACTTGCTTGCTTGCTTGCTTGCTTGCTTGCTTGCTTGCTTGCTTCTGTTTGTTTTTTACAATGTTATGGGTTGAACCTGGGCTTTCACACATGCTAGACAAGCACTCTAGCACTGAGCTATAGCCTGGCTCTCTTTTTACTTGTTATTTTGAGGGAGGATCTTACTAAGTTGACCAGGCTGACCTTGAACTTTCAATTCTGCCCTGTCTCCTGCATAGCTGGGATGACAGGTCTATGCTATGAGCCAGGCTATGAGCATTATTTCATATGTATGTTATGCCACCGTAAGTCAGCTTGGCAGGAGACATGAATAGCCAGTGAATATATCCTCCCCAAACCAGACACCTACTCTGGGGCTTGGCCTGCCTATGACCCTGGGCAGGATGAGCTGTGTCAGCTCAGTCTGGGCCCTGGCCTAACTCCCAGGCCCCAGGTGAAGACTCCCAGGCAGCCTGGGAGGGCCGTGGAGGCAGTCATGGCCAGGATAGGGTCCCATGGGAGGGAGCAGCTGGAGTTGGGAACCCCATGCCGCTCCCCTACCCCACAGTGGTGGGAGGATTCTGATCTTGACAGGAGGGGATATATTCCCACCCAGTCTTCCCTCCACGAACATCCAAACCACACACAGACTCACAGACTGTGGCTATGCCAAGCCTCAGCACAGTGGAAGAGAGACACAGCTTTCCTCTCCTCCATACAGCAGAACCCAGCCCTGACCAAAACTGGACTCTGGATGCTGAATACACCAACACAAATGCCACCAGGATGCTATCATAAACAACCAAGCTGGAATCTGAAGGTCTGGAGACTGCCATATCCTAGGATCCCACGACACTACTCTTTAAGAGCACCTACCCTCTCTGGTCCCAGCAAACAGCTTTGCACTAGCAAGGCAGGAAACAAGCTAGACAGAGAACCCCCACCCCACTTCCTGAACCCTGGGGAAGCTTCCAGAGGGGCGGTGGAGTGCAGCCCACATGACTGCCTTTATCACCCGTTCTCTCTGGCAGCGTCCTCCCTAGCACTCAGCCCCACTCTGTTTATTTGCTGACAGGTTCCAGCCTGGTCCCAGGATGTCTGGCCCCTCTGTGGGCAGGAATCTTATTCTCCAACTGATATTCTTCCACATTTCTCCACAAAATCCTAGAGGTGGCCAAGTAGAGAGGACAGGACATGCCCAAGAGTGTCCTTGCCCTCCTGTAGGCATATGTGTCACCAGCACAGATCTCTGTTTTGGGGGGCATTGTCATTTGGGCAGCCTGAGCAAGACATCCAGATTCTCTAAAATCAGTTTAGAGAAGTAACCTTCATGCAGCACAGCCTGGGATCCCTGCAAAAGCTGCAGAAAATAAATGATCCAGGATGACTTTAGCGGGCAAGCCAGCCTTGTCAGGACTACAATACCAGGATGATAGTGTAAGGAAGGTATTGTAAGTAAGATATTGCAAGGAAGGAGACGTAGCCTCCCCAGGGGATGTGGGACCCTGCAGAGAACTGTCAGTGTTCCCAGCCCTGTTGTTTCTAGGGAGTCAGAAAAGCAGTAGTCACTCTGGCTTAGACAGACATCCTCTGCTGCTTTGAGAAGAGGACACAAAGGCATCTGTGCAAGCAATGAAGGCTCTTCCCAGATGAGACCAGCACATGCCAGGCACCAAGAGGAAAACACATGACACAGCATCTTGATCCCATTATGCCCCTCTGAGCTCCCCCAGGGTCAGCCTGGCTGCCATCACCTCTGACTGGCACTGGGAGTTGAGGTCCAGGGAGTAAAGAGACTTGCCCCAAAGGTACCAGACTCCTAAGCCCACCCTACCTTTGCTAAAAGTTGCTGCCACCACGCTCCAGACCCCAGAGGCCGATGGCCATTGCTACCTACCAGGTGCCCAGCAGCTCTCACCAGCTGGTGGGTGGAGAAGGGGAAGGCCTCATTGCTCAGGTCAGCATCAAGCACATCCTGGAGAATGGCACGGCTGTGAACAAGGACAGTCAGTGAGTCACACAACCTCAGGGATTCCTGGCCAGTGGGGCCAATATCAGAGGGTGGACAACAAATGACATTTAATCTATACAATCTGGTTAGGTACAGGCCACAAGTACCACCTTGTGAAAAAGCCACCTTCCTGTGGGCTGTCAGGGAAGCCAGGCTATAGGTGAGCTCTGGTTGCAAGATGTTCAACTAAAATAGTTATCCAACCACCAAGCACTCTAGATCCCACCTGAGTCACCATGGTGGTCACTGAGAAACATTGGCAATGGTGCCTCTGTTTTATGTAGGAGAGTCAAAGGTCAAGCTGTGGTGAGTATACAGGACCCAGCAGGGAGCATAGGACACCGTACTGCACCTGCACCTCCATTACCACCACCATTGCTGTCACTGCCACCACCTCCTGGTGCATCCCCCAACCAAACCCAAGGGTCCTGCCTGGAGTGGATCTCAGCCTCACAGGTGTCACAAGGATGTAGAGAGATTACAGTCCCATCCTCCTGGTGAGCATGAGAACCTAGTGCTCGTGGCTGGGTGTCCTTACAGCAATGGGCTCATCTCAAGTGTCTCATGACAGTGGCTCATATTGTTCTGTTCACTGCTTGTCTAAACCACAACATGGCCCATTCTCACATTTCCACTGCTATTCTGAGAGTACCGTTGAGGTGCACTGTATTGTCCTGCACTGGCCTCAGCCAGTTTCCCTCTCCCACCTCCCCACTCTACTGCAGCCCAGCCCCGCCTGGCTGCTGTGAAATAGACAAAGTCCTGCAGGCCCATGCCCCAAGTCCACATGCCTCCTCCCAAGTCACTTCTCCTGTGTCCCTCCATACTCCTGCCCTGCTCCTTATCATATTTGACCCCCTCAGCTCTTGACTCATCCAGCAGTCACCTCCTCTAGGCAGTGCCCCTAGATTCTCTCCCCAAGGGTCCTTGTGTGACTACACAGGCATCTGCCGTTTTCCTCTCCCTTTGCTGTACCCAGCAGCACCAGGGGTTCCGTGCCAACAGGACCCTACACCGCCTACTGCTTGGTTCTCAATTATCTGGTGAGTGGTGCCAATTGCAAACATCTGGGCTCAACACCGGCAGAAGAGCAAGTACCCTAGGACTGGACACACCCCCACTTCTACCCATCAGGGTCCCAGAAGGCTGCAGCAAGTGCTCAGAAGTACAGCCAGCCCAAATCCCCACCCCACAGAGCTGGGATCTACCACCCACGCCTGCCTGAGGTGCTCAGCCACTGCCTTCTGCCAAGATCCTTATGTAACCTCAGCCCCACGTGGTGCTAGCCCTAGAGGTTCAGCTCGGCTCTGCTGCCTCCAGACCTCCTAGAACCCAGGCTCCCACAGCCCCGGGGCAGCCACACAGCAGAGAGGTAGCCTGGCAGAATACAGGGCTGTGTTGTCTTCTCCGTGGGGCATAAATGATACATATGGCCTCTCAAGTGGGGCTTGAAGGACTGTGACCAAGGCTGGGTGTCAGTCCTAAAGGACAGCCACCCAGGTCTGCCAAGGCTACAGTCCTACACTGGAGAAGAACAGGTAGCCTGGGGAAAGAGGCCACCTGGAGTCCTAGGGGCAAATCCCAGCACTTCCTGGGCCTTGGCCCTGGCTGCTAAAGTGGAGATTTAGACAACCCTCATAGATCACAAAAACATGTGTCTAGCACCCGAGGCCCATGCCGACAACTGTGATCATCCCACAAAGCTCTGTGTGTCCCCAGCAACTACAGGAGGCTGTTTGAACTGAATGAAGCTCATCAAATTGAGAAATGCAGCTGACAGAGGGGTCAAGAGCCAGGTAAAGGCTCAGCAGCTGCTGTACCGCCTGGCTCAGGGATAGCCGATTTCCAGAAAGTTCTTCTGAGTAGCAGTTCATACGGTACCTCCCATGACCCAGGTGCTGTGCTAAGTGCTCCCCACATGGCTTAGGGACTAGGCCTGTTTGGGCTAGTGACATTACTACTCATAAGGGGAACAGGAGAGTCTTCTGGAAGAGATGAAAAAGAGGTTGGGGGGGGGAGCTGCCAGCCTGGAGGCTGCCACACAGCTGTCCCCTGGGTTTGCACCTTGATCAGACTGTCTGGTATCCTTCTTCCTCCCCCCCCCTAAAAATAGCCTGTTCCCGTCCAAGGTCACCATGCAATGAAGCTGGAGTCTCCTGCAGGCCAGGCAGGGCCTCTAGTGCAGCAGGTGGGACTTTACTCCTTCAAGTTGACCTATAGGCTCCACCCACCCAAGGGGGGGGGAGTATTGGAAGCCATGCCCACAGCACTACGGGGCCCCTGCAGCCAGATGCTAATCAAACCCTCTAAACTCTGGAATAAACAGTTTGCTGGTCCTCACCCCGTCCCTCCCTCCTCCTGGCCTCCGGAAATGCTTTGTCTGACCTGGCTTCCCTCCTGTTCTCCGAGCAGTGGGCAGGATCTGGACTCAGCAAGAAGGGACTGGTTTGGTCAACCCCAAGGTGCCAGAAAATAAACATACAGCAGGGTCTAAAGCACACTAGTCAGGATCCCAGCAGGACACCCAGGGAAGAAGAGGTATCACCAAACAACCAAGTTTGTCATACTGATCCCCCGAGGGTCCCTACTCCCAAGAAGTGGCCCCCTTCTTTCCTGTCTCTCCCTTCTTCCACTTCCAGTCTAGGTGCACGGCTCCACCAAGCACGCCTGCATCTCTGGGCCCAGCACACGGCAGGCCCTGCTGGTTACCAAGGAACATCATCTAGTCCAGGTGCAGCTTCTCACAACAGTTTTGACTTGGTGACTGGCGTGTTGATAAGGATATGAGAACACCTGTCAAGAGGTTCCCCCTGTCCTTCTGCCTCGATTCCCAGAAACTGTGCGTCCCTGACAAATGTCTCTGCCTCTGTTCCATCAATAAGAAAAAAGCCACTGAGATGTTAGCCTTGTCACCCTGCTTAGTCTGGGGGGCAGGGGGGACTAGGAGACTTGGAGGGAGAACCTCCAAGTGCTATCCCTGGAGTGCTGAATGTGGGCAGCATAGGAAGCAGATGGAAAGTAGGCCCTTGTCACGTGATCCTCCTGTCCCTCTTCTTTCCCCTTTTGCTCTCCTCTCTCTCTCTCTCTCTCTCTCTCTCTCTCTCTCTCTCTCTCTCTCTCTCTC